CTTAGTAACCGTTGCCTATATCATGAACAGCACTATGGATATTATGTTATCACGTGGCATCAGTGTTATTCTGTGGCCTTTCCAGAGGAGTAGGATGTCATGTCTCTTATTCTGTAATTTCACTGCCTAATCTGACCTTACAACTGAAACAACTTACAAAGCAAGCTACTTTTGGCAATAGGTGAGACTGAGGTACGCAGTACGCAGACGACTTTTTACAGTCTATCTCTAACTGATATGGTACAAAATATCATCACTTCCTTTGTAAAATATGTTTCGGTTGAAGGATGAGATAAATCAGGGAAATTGCAGGATATGGGTCACATGATAACTGAAGTCCGATGTGCTATTCGTGTGTATATACGACGGTACCACTTACCGTCAGGTGGGTCATCAACTTGTTTGCAATTCGAGTCACGTAAAAAGTGGACACTTGTCTATAGCTAATAATCCCTTCGCCTATAATAATTGTTAGGGTAAGCAGCACCTATAAAACCAAACTTCATATTTTTTTAAGTATAACAGACAACAGTTCATTCGGAATAAATTATTTAGAGAACGTAGTTGTGTTGTTACTAACCGCAAGACACAAAAAGCCATTTTAAAACCGACAGATAGCTACGCTCTTACGGTGTCGGGTAACTCGACCAGAGTCGACCATAATATCTATGGTATGGACAAAAAGTAGTGGCAAGAAGTACTTGCTCTATGATGATTTATTCCGACAATCGATGCTTTTTTATGTTTGTTAAACTGAGGCATTTCTTAGGCTGAGACATACCTTTAGACAGACTGGAGCCATTTAGTTCTCTTATATTTCCTTTTTTCGTTGAAATAAATATTTTTTATGTTTATTTAGATAGTACATGATGTATATAAAATAGATCTAATATTTATTCAGTAAATAAATATATTTACTTTCTTCAACTTAAATTTACTTTTGTTTGTGTGCCACATTTATTGGTGCAATATAACGTAATATTTTAGCCAATAATTGTGCATACATTTAAATTTCTTTGTTTATTTATAAAGGCGTGTTGTGTCGAAGTATAATCGTAGATATACCTATTTGTAAATATAGTTGTGAGAAAAATACAAAACAAAGACTTTGTTATAAAATGAAAATCATATGGTACATATACCTATTTATACATATGTAGTTGTGAGAAATACAAAAAATTACAGAATTTATCATTTAACGAAATAATTGCATTTTTATTATAAAAATGTATTTTTTTAATTATAACATATGGCTTTAGCAAACCAGTAAATTCGTCCTAATAGTTCCATAAATTGGTACACATATCTAAATCTACACACATAAATAAAATTGGAATGTCTGTTTGTAATAGGTACATATTGAAATAACCATTTTTTACTACATGCATATGAATATAGATATGGTACATACATCAAAATAACATTTTTTACAATTTTTGTCTATTTGTTCCGGCTAATCTCTGAAATGGTTGGACCGATTTTGATGGGACTTTTATTGGCAGGTAGCTGATGTAAAAAGGAGTAACTTAGGCTACTTTTGCGGACGAAATCGCTGGTACAGCTAGTTAATATTATAAAGTTGAAGAGTTCGTTAGTTAGTTTAGTTAAACTCTTATATCATGAAATGCTGGTTCGAATTAAAAATTATTTTAGTATTAGATATCCCATTTATCAAAAGAGGCTATATATAGAGTGTATAACATTCCTTTTGTGGGCTTCCTCTCTCTGATGTGCCTCAGACGAAGATAGTTACGAGTAGTATTATGTTTTTTATTGTTAGTAGTATATTTTTTCATTGTTTCCTAACATTTATATATTACCAGCAACCCACCCCGGCTTCGCTTCAATAATAGTTAATAAATAATATAATGTAACAATAATATAGTTACCAATAACATTATTGAAACAATAACCGTTATTTTGAGACCACTTTTAACTTTATCATTGGGTACATAAAATATACATATAAAAATTCAATAAAATACAATGTAGTTAGTCGAGCATGACGTTTTGACAAGTAATACGGACGCTACCAATAAGTCCGTTTAAAAATAACAATTATGTTTACGACGGTGTCCATAAACAGTAAAATTTTATGTTTGCAAGTGTTGAAAAGGTGCGTTATATATTTGATATCATCGCGTAAGGCGTCTGATGGGGTCTGCAGAGGTAATAAATTACAGTGAAACGGGAATGTAAATAACGTGCGGATAATTTGGCATTTTAGATGCAGGTGCCTGAAAACTGGTGAAGGGTTGAACGGCTATTGCAACGGTGGGTTCTGTATGTTCAACTTGAGATACAAATTGTCTTATGTTATATTATATACTAGCTTTTACCCGCGGCTTCGCTCTCATAACTTCACTACGGGCTCCAGATGGCGCTGAAGTAGCAAAATGTTGATGTTATGTTTTTTGTTTTTTATAAAATATATTTGTTTTTTTTTAATAAAATCTATCGTATCAAAATATAATATAAACATACCTACTTTCATATTTGTAAGGATTGTTTTGATAATTTGCCCTTCTCATATTATAGAGCTCAAAGTTTAAAACATATTTTTATAGATTTGTAGTTTTTTTATTGGTGGTTTGGGCTATTGTCAGGTGCTTGGACCTGTAGCACTGTGACTTACACAGATCTATTGTGCTCGCCCTATTTCAGAGTTCGCTACCTAGACCCGTCAATGACAAGAATTGAAGGATATTCTTAAGAGCGATGGTTGTTATCTCCTAAGGACAGAGCATAAACTTTCCAAAGTAGATATTACGTTTATGCATGAGTGGGCAACAACCACATAAGATCTGTAGTGTTTTAGGAGCCAACAGAATATCTGCAGATTTGTCTGATTGGTTGCCTTTTCACCTTTGCTTGCATTTCTTTTACTTGTTCATTATTTTGTATTTTTCTGTAACTCATATATGCTATGTGTCTATAATTGGCGAATAAAGAATTTATCTGTTTATCTTAAGCTGTATTTTTATTATGTTGAGTGTCAGCGTTGCCAATTTGTAATATGTATATTGCTGATGCTGATATTTCTTTCAATATTTGTTTGAGTGTTATATCGTATATATTGTTTTAAAGTATATTATATTATTAATAAAGTTTATATTTTAAAAATAATATTTTTATTTTGTAATAAATATATGTCCAATAATAGAGAAAGGGTTAGAGATGCATAGAATGTTTATCTATCTATTGAAATTATTATAGTGTTGGATTGCACATTTATAGACGAATGTCATAGGTTATATAATATCACGCTATAATCAATAAGAGCGAACCTTGTGAATTAGTATAAATGAGGAGTTCTTATAATTCTTTGTGTTAACGGATGATGGAGTTCAGAATGTTTATATATTGAAATTTAATGTGGGTGAAACCACGTCAGAAGAGATTTGTGAGTTTGTTACTCTTTCACGCAAAAACTACTTAACGGATTTTGATAGAACTTTACAGTAATAAAGCTTATGCATCAGAATAACATATAGGCTTTATTTTTTATTGAAATTTAACACGAGTGAAACAGCGGGCACGGCTAGTGTTATTATAAAGCTGTCACCGAGGTTCAGCGGAGTCCTACGTAACCCCGACGCGGCGCGCCCTCATCACGGCGACCCACTTGTGCCAACCTTTGAGCTTCACCGACGACGACAGCGGACGGTACAACAAAATACTTGAGCAATTTGTAAACTGCAGCTTTGGCATGGTATTTTTAAAATAACTTAATGTAAAACTACGAATACGAAAAAAGGACGTAATGAAAATACAGAAAAAACTGCAGTTGTTGGTGAAATGTGGATATTTACAGTAATGGTTAATTGCTGTTTAGCGACGAGCATTTGATCACAAACGTAGTATAATAAGTAAAAAAAATACTGCCCATTAGGTGAAGAAATAAGAAAAATTTTAAAAATCGTATTCGTATAATCGTTTTTAGAACTGTTTTTCTATTATTTAATTAACCTACTATTTTTGTTTTTTGCGCTTATAGTTTATTGTCTAAAGAAAGATCTGCGAGGCCCTAATTTCCTAACTATGAAACGTCAAAATAATTTCTGTTAGATCGTGATTTCTAATAATGTTAGGTTTATTGCAAGTATTTGGAATGGTCTACACCTAGACCTATTAAACCCATTAGTAGTTGAGTTTCTTGTCGGTTAGTCTCAATTCAATCTATATATCAACTGGATGACAGGGAAAAAATATTATTATAAAAAATAAAGTTCTTAAGCGGCTAAAATGATTTGAATACATGATTTTTGATTTGATTCGAAGTATTGTTGGAGTTTTCAGTCTTTTTTTGTAATAAGACCTGATGTTTAACTTTTACTAACGTTATTTTGATATTGTGTGCATTATTTCTGCTAATACCTATTTCCAGTAGGCTACAAGCCTTTGGTCCGTTGCTTGCCCTTAGTACTACAAAATTGATTGTGAATGCAATTCTTTCCGCATTCTGGTTCTATTGTGAGTTATTTCGTAATACAATATCAGCGATGGAATTTCACAATCTTATCCGCGTAATTAATCACAAGTTCCGATCTCTGTTAGCGCTTGTGAGTAGTTACTAATTCGGCGCTGGTACTTGACTATATGGTTGGTTGTTTTTAAAGAAAAATGATGCTTTATTACAGCATTTTTCATTTAATTTTTATTTATAGCACTATTTATTATTCATACTAACATAGCCTAGTGTGGGGTCATAGACAAACGGTTTAAGTTAAATTTTCATTAATAAATTTGAGGTAGGCAAGTGTTAATGTTTGATATTGAATTAACTAGTTTCTTTTTATGTAATTACAACAGCAAACAAGTTGATCACCTGATGGTAAATGGTTGCCTGTATTATTAACAGCATTACGACCATCAGTTATAATGTGACACCCGTGACACCACTCATGCATTGCCGTACCGGAGGACAATGACAAATGATTGTATTTAAAACAAGAAATTACTTCAATAAATATTGCATTTGCTTATAATATAGTACTTACATCATTCTCTTGGCTGTCGCTCTCGTTAATTACATATTCACTTGTCACATTTACATCACCATTCCTCAAGTTTTTATCACCATTGTCTTTGATTGCATATTCGTTAATGTCACCGTCGTCCATTGACATTACCGAACTCACATCATTTTTGTCCTGTTCGTCAATTTGTCCATTTTTATAATCACCGATCGTCACAGCACCATCCACGACAGCACCGGGATGTCTTAACTCCAATCGGATAGTCCGATTCGATTCCTTATCAATTATGTTAAACTCAGACGAAATGTTTTTTCCTTCCACGTAGCTCTCGTTATCCTCCAAATTTTTGCTTGTAACTTTTCTCTTCAAATTCTGCGGCGATTCTATTTGTTTATCGAGTAATTTTATATTATTGTTGTTTGAAAATTTCACTGTCGATAATTCTGCAGCCATGTTCGTTTTTTTGAAGTCTACGTAATCATCTACTTGTGATTTTTTACGTTTAGGAATATTCTCACTAAAAATGTCGTCTACAGTTATGTTCTGCTGTTCGGTCATATCGGGCAGGTTAATTCCGTTCATTTTAGTCATGTTGACGAAAGTTCCAGTACGAATCTAATTGATCACATTGTGTGTAACCGCTGGGGGTTATCTCGTGCCATTGTCGGTTTAACACGGCGTAAATCATCGACAGATGATTATCTATCCAGATATGATGACTGCCGTAACCGACCAGTTTGTCTTGACTCCCAATTTCAGTGGTACAAGGTCCTGCAAAATCGATTTGTCCAAGGCCTCTGTAGACTGGTCCAGTTGTATTGTTACCGCCGCGTTGAGCAACTATCGTGAACTTTTACACGATTATTGTACCGCCATTACGTTTCGTATGAGAATTCTATTTTCTTTAGATCGATGATATCTGTTTTATCTCCCTCTGGTACGTAGATTTGTCTCCTTCTAACATCAAATGATGTTATTGTTTACTTGCCCCGTTAGTTATTGATTGTATAGGAAATCAGTCTTCGAGTCTAATATGTGATTATCTTTATTAAGCAGGTACTGGTTGTTTCTTTTAAAATTTTATAATGACTTTAATTTGTGATTTTTATATCTGATACTGGCACGTTTCAAAACAATCACAACATTGGTATGGAACATTAAAAAAATAATTTATTCACAAAAACACGAAATTAATACTGACGCGAAAGGGTTTTCAAATTTGGAATTCTTAAATTAAATTTCGATTTTCCCGCGTATAGGTAGCCACGTGAGCGAGCGCGCGTCGCTCGAGGCTATCACATGGAGTGGGTGCGCGCGCGCGGACGTACAGCCTCGAGACATGATAAAGATGGGGAGTGCATAGCATATGCTAAGTAATCAGATAAATCCTGTTATTTCAAGACTAATTTAAGTTTTACTATAAATTAAAGGAAATGCAAATAAACAGCGCATTGTAGGCACTAAGAAATAATAATTCAGTACCGGTCAATTAAGAAAAAAAAAATACCTTAAAGAGTATTTAAATACCCTTTGTATTTAGAATAACATAGGAATGCTATAATATCAACCTGTTTTTAGTATCGCATAGCGTAGTTTATATTTCAATATCTATAGCGATACTTATTGGAATGTAGTCCTCTGATACCTAATACATACCGATATTTAGTACCTAACAACAAATTATATATGTATTTTTTAATTAACATATAACTTACTCTCGCGGTATTGTTAATACGTCATATAGCGGTAAAATTTTATGAATACAATACTTTTTAAGTTTTTTAGGATTTACGTCTATGTTGGTCGCAGTGCTACAGGTCTAAGCAATTCATAAGAAAAAAAAAATTGGTTTACAAGAAACTCTGTATAAAAATCAATGTATCAGGGGGAAAGGGGATTGTTAGTTATGGGTTTTTATGGTTAGTTATTGATACTACTAATTCCTGGAGAAATTTGTCAGGTTGGGCTAACTTACTTAATTTTATACTCTTCTTATAATCTTCCAAAGGTGCCACGGTAGCGTATACCGTTAGCAAATCCGGATCCTACATTCCATCATCATCATCAATTAAAAACCTTATAGCATGTAAGAACAAAGCGACGGCACAATGATTCCACATAAAAGCTCTATGTTTTATCTGAATATTTAACTTGTACCCACCAAAAAAGCTTCCCGCTCACACCAAACCGCGAATCTATAACTTTGTTCCTTTCATATCCAGTCTTTGTGTCTATGTGTGCGTTGCTTTTGTATACGCATGTCGGTGTGGGTGCATGAAATGATTTCCGAACTTACCACCGAGATATACTAACAGAATTGGTTTTAATACATAATTTGATGAAGTTGTTAATAATAAATTAATAGAATTAAGTTTTGAAAAATGTACAATATGTTTTGCCAATCTTTAAATTGCATAAGTGATAATAAATAATCTAATAATTATGATAAAAGAAAGCGCAGTAATATATTGCAGCAAAAAAGCAGAATTTGAAGTAGTACGACTGTTTTAATTACAAATTAATTAGTATATAAATTTAATTAATTGTATTTGAACGTGTTCAACGCAGTCGTTTGGTATAATAAAAATTGCACAATTATGAAATTTCTGTATAGGTATAAATTGAAAACACTTTTGCTAGCAAATTAATTGTAATTATTCGTAGTTAAATTTAAATATAAACTAGAAGAGAATCACTGTAGTCATAAAAAACTGTGTGTTACCTCATTCATCAAGAATAAAATGTTATTATGTTTCTATAGCTGCTAATGACAGTAATTTTACAATCATATCCATTCTGTGGTTGAAATACTAGAAACTATCAGGACGACTTTATACAAAGTATGTCTCTTGTATCCACTTAGTGGATGAAATACTAGTAATTATCAGGACGACTTTATATAAAGTATGTCTCTTGTATCCACTTAGTGGATGAAATACTAGTAACTATCAGGACGACTTTATACAAAGTATGTCTCTGGTAAATAATCTAGAGGATGAAATACTAGTAACTATCAGGACGACTTTATATAAAGTATGTCTCTTGTATCCACTTAGTGGATGAAATACTAGTAACTATCAGGACGACTTTATACAAAGTATGTCTCTTGTATCCACTTAGTGGATGAAATACTAGTAACTATCAGGACGACTTTATACAAAGTATGTCTCTGGTAAATAATCTAGATATGCATTACTATGAGTATACTAAAATACTATATTAATCATCTGCATAAATGGTCACCCAGCGTACCATTTTCTAGAAATTTTTGCCACGCACAACCATATTGTGGAATCACCTTCCACCAATGGTATTTCCGAAATCCGAAATCTTCAAGAAAAGACCTTCTTCCTTCTTAAAAGGCGGCAACGCGCTTGCATTTCCCCTGGTGTTGCTGTGCTCATAGGTGGCGATAATCACTTACCACAATATCAATAAAAATCAGCTCTATGATCCGTCTCAGTGGCACTTACTGTCCGATGGACTGACACAGATCAGATAATGATATTAATGAGCAATTATAACCTATTTATGTATACACAGTACATAAAATAGTGTAGCGCTATGTAGTTTTTTTATAAACGTCCAGACAGTCCCACCGCATACAGTCTTTGTGACGTTATTCAGCAGTACTCTTATTTTCGCGATTACAGTGATAAAATTTATAAACGGTACACAAACATATGTATAAATAAATACATAAATAAATAAGCTTGGATAATTAACACAGCGCCATCTAGTCCCACGGTAAGCAGAGCTTGTGGTATAGATACTAGACAACTGATATATATAATTATTATTAATATTACAAAGCAGAAGAGTTTGTTTGTTTGAACGCGTTAATCTCAGGAACTACTAGTTCGAATTGAAAAAATCTCATTTGTTGAGTGCATTTGTCGAGGAAGGCTTTAAGCTATATAACATTACGCACCGACCAATAGGAGCGGAGCTGCAAAGAAAAATATTGCAAAAGATGGAGTAATGAAACGTAGACGAAGTTGCGCCGGTTAGCTACTATATAATAAACATATAAAACTCCCAGACAAATATAATACAACTATACAAATATAAGACAATACAAACATCGTGCGAGGAATCGAACTCGCGACCATCGAAAGTAAGCGGTGTGCTTAATCGCTAGACCACCGAGACCGTCAACGGTAATAGGTAACTGGTGTTTATGATGATATTAATAATATATAACCAGTGAGGGGGAAATGGGGGATAAGGAAGAAGCAGATGATGATGATGATGAGGGGGAAATGGGATTGTTAGTAATGTGGACTGATGACCCCATAGCTAGCAATGCACCTTATCAGGTTGATTTCCACGCGGATCCCCCTGGAATTCCCCATCGTGGTAAATTGGTATATGCCAAGATGGTCTGAACCTGACTTTAAGTTCATATTATCATCTTCCACTGGTGCCCTGCCTATGGAAAACCGTTAGCGCAAGCAAGCATCATTCCATTATCATCCATAAAAATACACAGAAAACACCCAGACCAATACAAACAATCACACTCAGGAATACAATTACATCGTGCAAGGAATCGAACCTGCGACCATTCAAAGTAGAGCAGAGTGCTAAACCGCAAGACCAGCTATAAAATTTTGGGGAAAGTAAGACTAAAAGGCAAAGAAGAAACCCATGGATAGGTGACGCTATAAAAATTTCGCTCAAATCATTCAATATAGAAAGAAAATAAAAAGTCAAAATGAGTCAACTGAATATTGAATCGAGTATACAGTCAAGTAGGTAAACGTATGAGGACAGCAGCCCACGTGTATACATATCTATGTATAATATATACAATGACTAGCCATGCCACGCGATTTCATCTGTTGTTTAATTTAAAAAAGGTATCAACTGTCGTTTTCACTTAGTGTACCTTTAAACTCATTTTCCAGATTCCTAAGTGTGTTATTATAAATAAAAATATAATACAACTTGGACTGGTAATTCCTGAAATTGACAACAGAATAAGACTAGCAGTCGCTCACGGTTTTACCTACTGTTTAATTAAAAAATATGGCATCGTATCGCCTTACCGTAGCTGTTATATCTTCTATACATATATAACAAAAAAACTAATTGCTGTCTGTACATTGAAGATGTATAAGAACAACTGCTATTGGTAGACTGCTAAAGGTCATGGCGTGATATTTAATACCCTACAACCTTTTTTTAAGAATTGTTCGCCTGTCTAGAATTGCACTATGTTCTATATTATTATAGGTCGTGTATCTAAAGCATCACTAGGAGGCTCCTACCAGATGTGGTTGGGCAGAGAGGAAACACGAGTTGAGATGGTGAAAGCGTCACCTTAAACTTACATCCGTGTCTCAAGTCCCAGGTACTGTTTGTTTCTGCCACAAGATGGAACTGAACTGACGGGACTTTCTGCCGCACGGTGAAACCATGGTATGTTAAGAAGTTCCTCTCATCAAAATGCAAATAGAATTGTATGAATTCGAGCCTTCAACCAAACATACTTTCAACCAACCAAACCAAATATTGCCTATGTTCTCTGTATTACAATTTATCTTCATTAGGATTGGTTTTAACAAGCAGACAAAACAATTCATTATATTAGTATGGATCAGTATAGATTCACGTATATTGCGTATAATGGCGCGTAGGCACTAGGTGTCATACGATAGTACTTGACCGAGGTTTGAGGTTTTACCGAAGTATAAAACGTAGGCGGCTAAGTGAGAGATTTTTTCGAATACCTACATAGCTACGTGCATAATGTCATGGAATTATTTAATCAATAAATAACATTTTTCTATAAGGTAGCTGTTGCGGGTGTATATTAGACGATGTATATTACAGATGATGATAAACTGACCATATGTACATAGAAATAATGATCTTATATACTAAATAACATTAGGAAAATGTAAGGTGGGGTGACTCAGTTTAGACACAGCAGTGCTTAGTAGACAATATTGAATTTGTCTTACTAGACATTATTAAATGCAATATTTTGATGTATCTAGGTGACTGTGTCCCATAGTAGCTAACGTTATTAGTTTTTAAAACTTATCTTATGAAAGACGAAAACATAGTAAGTATATTAAATTCAAGTATATCGTTTTAAAATATTAAGTTGCTAACAATTATTTTTTTTATTATGTTAGTGTATTCCACATTTATGTGAACTAATTTCGATGATTATTATTAATTTAAATTCCAAACTAAGATAATTTCTTTTT